GCAATCTTAAGATATTACTGTTGCTTCACTCCCTTAATTACTATTAAATGATCGGCGTAAATCGTATTTATACCTTTGGCGGTCGGTATATACGACAATCGTTAAGATTTTAAAATTGATTTAAAATGATATAAAGTTTATTTGTACTTGTTTAAAAAAAATTGGAAAATTAGCGACTTGAAAATTTCAATTTTTTATACGTTTTACTAGTAAAATCTTGTATCGTATAATCTATACTTTTTGCAGGGGGTGTATGTCTTTCTAAAGATTACAGAGTTAACCAATATCTCTGCTCCGACACTCCACTGTGCTACAAGAGAAGCAAGTTTATTTTCCAATCTATTTTAATTTCGCTCATAGCTACACACGTTTTACTGATTTCACTCATCCCGTTGTGTCCTAGTTGTACAAGTCTTCGCTGATTGTTGCACAAGTTTAGTTTCTCCCCATAGATTTGTCATTTCAATATTTCAATCGAGCATAGTTCCCCTATAGGTTTGTCTTGCCTTTTGGTTAAGATAGTATCGTATAGTTTATATGCCGGAAGCAATAACAAAAAAGTGTTGTTTTATACAATGAATATAGTATATTTGATATTAATATTTACAATAAATAGCAGATGTTAATAAAGACTATAGTATATTTACATTTTGCCGCGCGTTACTTACAGATTTGACCAGTTGTCCTTGCCGAGATCTGGAACAGCCCAAAGGTCACGAAACCGACACTTTTTTGCGTTATGACTATGGTACTATTGACCCCCACACTGACATCATCAACTCTATGCTAGGACGTCTTCTCTACCTCCGTTCCATAGACATACAGATAGACCCACTCACCCCCTGGGTCTCCCCAATAGAATACAGTCACTCATTAATATATCTAAGAATAGATATCTCCCCCTCCCCCCAATAAATCCATCTTATGGGCTTTTATTCTCTTCCTCTGCATGTACACCCCCCTGACAAAAGTATAAGTACGAGATGAAATTTTACTAGTAAAACATATGAAAAATCTTTATTTTCGAAAATCTCTATCATCCATACGTACTATGTAACCCACAATGATTTTGGTACTGTTTTGAAGCTAATTGATTGTATTTTCCAGAAAAAATTATGATATGCTCAGTCCTGTTGTTGTTTCAAGGCTGTAGTTCAAGGAAGTGGCGAAATTATGTTACACATATGAAATCATATGTGTAACATAGTGCCGTCACTTCATTGAACTACTTCTTCATTACATTAACTAATTTAAATTCCACATCATTTTTTTTCGAAAAATACAGTCAATTAGCTTTAAAATGGTACCAAAATCATTGTGGGTTACATAGTACGTATGGATGATAGAGATTTTCGAAAATAAAGATTTTTCATACTTTTGTCAGGGGGGTGTATGTTAATGTAGATAGATAAAAACAGCTTGAACTTTTAACGAGCACCTCGTTGTGAATAAAAATTTCTCGCGATAGTTACTAGCTATCGTAGAGATGGTTTAATTAAATTATACGCGTGGCTTATCGGACTTGTTAACCAGTGAAAAATATTTTACCGCGAAAACAATGACAGTCGCGATATTATGTAATAAGTGTTACCTATTATGCTTTATTATTGGAGATTCTCACACTCCTTTGCGTACGACAGCAATTTATAATATCAAGTAGCACCAATATGTATCATCCTTCGCATCTAACACGCGAATACGCGTCTACTCATACGTATATATATACCCAGCTGCTTCTCTCCTCCTCCAAAGCGCAAACATTATCCAAAAGTTAAATATAAGACGAACAATCTTCTGTCGTCAACGACACGATTTATCGACCTCTAACTAATGAAAACTCATATATACACCAGACGCTTCTCTCTATTGCGCACGCATCGCTTCACAACAACATGTCCAAAGCGTAAATCCAACGTCACATACGACAGTTTGTTACAACCTACGAACAAATTCTCTAACAATATGGTTTATCGAACATTAACTGATGAAAGAGTTCAAATACAATACACCCAGACGCTTCTATTTATTGCGCATGCATCACTTCACAACATCTCTTTCTCCAAAGCGTAAATACAACAAACAATCCTTTACGCCATTCCATATTATGCGCATACGACAGTTCGCTACAACTCACGAACAAGTCTTCTAAACAACGACACGGTTATCGACCACATAACCAATGAAAAAGTTCGAACACACGTCTACTCATATATATACTCAGATGTATTGCTTCACAAAAACCTCTTCTCCTCCAAAGCACAAATACAACGTTATTAATACAACGTTATTTAAAACAGCAAACAATCCTTGCCGCCACTTCATATTATGCACATATCACAGTTCGCTTCGCTACAACAAACTCTTAACACTCTCAACAACGACACGGTTACATAATCGACAAAAGAGTTCGAACATTCCGCTCCTCCACACTAACGTCCATTCTTAACGTGTTACCGCACCGAGTAGATTAATGATGCGATAAGGAAGTTTGGGAAAAGTTGCTATTGTACGTAAGTTTATTAATTTCAGGTTTTGACGTCTTTTCAACAAACAAGTGTATGAAATAACTCAACAAATTATTGTATATCTACTCTACTATTTAGAAGTTACATGCAAGTCACTTCCTCGACTTTGCAAAGTTTCCCGACACATAATCTCGCTCTATACTCGGATCGCTTTTGCTTTATCGGCGCGCTAAGTCTACTTGTTATTCGCCAACACCAAGTCTATTACTGGGAGGACTGAGAAACAGAATAGAGAAAGATAAAGAAGGAAATGAGTGTGCCAACTAACTATTGCTCTTTAATCGGTTTGTTAGGTGGCTGCTCTCCTTCGTCTCTGCCGGTGGACGGGTGCGAATCTGGATCAGGCAGGGGTAGTTACCGGTGACGCCACTCCTACTCGTCATTGTCCCCAGTGCTCGCCGGCGGTGAAGGGATCCTGGCACGGGTCCGATGAGTGGGTCACGGGGGATGCCCGGAACATTCTGAGACATCTCCTTTTTCTTTCTTTTTCTTACACAGTGTTTAGATGACGGGGAGAAGATTTTGGGTAAGTATAAGGTAAGTAGCGCATTGTTTTACGTTATAAACTAACTTTATTTTCTTTTTTTTCTTTTTCTCTCCCCTTTTTCTTTCACTAACGGTTTGCCGGTGACCGGATCCAATGGGACACTTGGGGAGGTGGACGGGTTTAAGGGACTGATTCGGCAATTACTTAGCCACTTGTGAAGGGTCTGTCCCTGAAGCTGTTTAAAGATAAAAGGTGGGTTTGCTGCTTGGCATGCCAATTGGGAGTAATAATTTTTACCTGCCCATTATTTTGTTTAATTAGTATAATAATAATTAATAAAATAATAATTTATGAGCAAAAGAGAGAAAAAAAAAGAGAAAAAAGAGAAGTTCATACAAAATACTTATTAATTTATAAATATCAATATAAACGCAATATATGTCATAATGTTGTATCATTTGTATTAATATAATAATAATCAAATAAATTGACATGTAATAATTAAATTTACTTTGCACTTGGAAACTGACAGTGGTTGGGAGTAAACACGATTTTATTGTATTTCTTTCTAAACGTTCTTTACTTCACACATTCCAATTTTTAGTACATGTTAAATTTACGCTACCGTGGGTGACTTGTAGTTAACCTATGGAATACTTAATAAAATAAATCGCCAACATCGCAAGTGATTAAATTTATACTGTACTTTGGCCCCTTTGCGAAATTGCTTGCTGCAATTAAGATCTTTGTCAATAAAAACGCTGTTGTTATAATCTCTGCAAGTATACAGAGCATGACAAATAAACAAGAAAGTGGCAATCAAGCTATAACACAATCATTAATACCCGTCCTACCGGGCGCAACATTAAAACCTAATTTTTGCATATGCATTGTATAGCGGATACAAGACCGAACACATTACGCGCCGCTTTTGGTTTGACAACCATTGCAGCAAGAGTTTGTTGGTGTTGAAATGGCGTTGTGGGGGTAAAGACTATTATGAAAATTTGAGGTAAAGTGTTCAAAATCAATAGTCTGAATACAGCTTGCAAATTTCCATGGTTATTACAAATCTGTATTAGTGCATAGGACAAGTCGATCTCTGACTTATCGACAAATTTTAAAAATAGCTTTATCATTAACATTATAATGGCGGTATTGTTCAGTCAAATGGATACTAACGTCAGAGGAAGTAGTATCGGTACTATTACTATGTTTAGTTAGCCTGTACCTGATGTATTTATTGGTTGGCGTAAAATTCATTACTCCGCTTTCAGCCATCTTTATACAAACAACATCTGTTCAAATTACCTACACCACGTCTCGACGAATTTGTTTACATTAGCACAATTAGTTCAAATTCAATACCGTCTTCTAAAGAAAAATCTATTATCTTTCATGGTTACAATTAATTAACATTCATTATTTGAATTGGCAGTACATATGTACCAGTAATAACCTGCGGGTCTATCTTGTCTCTTTGTAAAGAAGTTTATTGCTAACACTAATAACAAGTACACAGAACCAGATGTTGATGTGTGCTGAAGATGACAATATTCGAAGATATTAGCAGCAAAAATATAAGAGTTTTGTTAGTTCGGAGTCTCTTTCTTAAATTCCGCACTACACACACTATAATCCTCGTTTGTTAATTTTTGGAACAATGGTCACACAATTAGAAATGGGAGTATAATAATAATAATAATAATAAAATTACAGTTTTTAGAATTTCCAATTTCCTTGGCATTGTCATCCCTTGTTCTCCATACAATGACACAAACGACTTATCTGTCATTATTACAAACCATCCCCTACTTTAGATGGGCTTTATATAGATTACCAATAATAGCTCGCCTGTAATATTAGGTGTTCAATGTTGGATGACATGTCACAACATGTTTGTTAAACTGGGATATAACAGCTACGCAGAGACTGACAGTTCCTTGCTTCCTTTCCCCCCTTCACGTTAATGATAATAGTAGCGCAAAATGAAGGTACAACAACGACTTGGTATACTGGTGGCTATCGTAGTGCTGGCGATTCAAGGTAAATGAAAATCGCGTCCAAACAACATATTCATCGAGAATGAAAACGATATACTGATTGCTGACTGTAACTTTATTCCTTAGGCGTGTTTGGTTTTTGTAATAAAAAGTTAAACTATTGCTTCACGATATCTCCTGCGGTATCCCCTCTTAATGATGGAAAAGATTACGTTGAATTTAGATTGGAAGCACCAAAAGACGTTGGGTACGTCATTTGAAGTAATGCTTCAAGCTAAAGATTGAATAGCTGTCTTTCCGAACAAAAGAATTGACAATTTCATTTTACATCTTTATCAAAGATGGGCTGGCGTTGGGATCGGACAGTGGATGACTAACTCATATTTAATAGTGAGTATTATTAACAATCTTGTTGAAGCTCTTCATCATTCATTCCCACCACGTTGAACACTCACATCGAACACCGTTTCTTTTCTCTTGCATAGGTTGCCTGGCCAAACTCGGATGGCAACGTAACCGTCTCTCAGCGTATAGCTAATGATTATTATGACGGAGCGGTAGCAACATCTAATCAAGCCGATCTCATTCTCGATAAAGAAGCCAGTGGTATTCAAAACGGCAAATTTGTTGCTGTTATTCGACGTGCCGTGACCGTCGAAACAAACACTATACAAACGGATGGGAAGCAGTGGTTTGTTTATGCTATTGGATCCACTCGACCACCTAATGAATACAACGTCACTTTGGAGCAGCATGAGCCTGATCATATGGGGGCAACTGAGTTGATCGTCGGCCAGGGCGGCCAGGGTATCACCGACAAGTATCTCACTATACACGGTGAGTTTGCATTTTGAGCGAGTGATGAGAATATTTGCTTTAGTTTCGTATGGTGGATTCGTAAACTCATGATTTTCTTTTTTTTTTTCCCTTCCCCTCCATTCAGCTATATTCATGTTTCTTGCATGGACAGTGGCAACTCCGTTGGCAATATTTATCGTTCGATTTGGCAGGAAAGCTTTACCCAAGAGCTGGTTCCGTTTACATTGGGGAATTCAAGCATTCGTAACGACCACTTGCATAATTATTGGATTCACATTTGCTGTAATGGCTCTGGGTGGATTACAACATGAGCACGCTCACCACGTATGTCTACAATTTTGTTGTTTTTGATTGTTCCTATGAGAAAGCTTATATATTAATCTGATTCTGCTTCCATTAGAAATTGGGATATGCCATTATTGTTGGCTTTGTAATGCAGTTAGGACTAGGCGTGTTCCATCATGTTATGTTTGACAAAAGGCGCGAGTATGTTCCAATATGGACAAAAGTTCACTGGTTCGTATCGACAACTCTTTCGTTTTCCCGCTCTGTCGTTTGTGGAGTTTATGTCATGTACTGACTATAAGACTCTTTATGTACTTCTCTCATTCTTATTCACTTTCATCCACCCGACAAATCTTTTTTGGTTGAATAAATTTACCTATTTAATTGTCGTCGACCTTCTAGGTGGTTCGGCCGTCTTCTCTTCGTTTTCGTACTCTTCCAAATAGAACTCGGGCTCCGGCTATTCTCTGACGTTACGATGGGTTGGTACGTTGCATACTATGTATACCTCAGTACCATAATTGCAGTATTCCTCGGTTTTTCCTTCTATCAATGGAGACGAAAGAGCAAGGCATCTGGCTACGAGTTTGATGACAATAGAAACTTTGTTAAAATGGATGAAACCGGCTCGATGCACGATTAGAGTAGAGTTCATATGAAATAATAAATTAATTTTATTAATTAGATCATGTATGGGTAAAAGGAGAAACAAGCAAACGAACTAGTTAGTTTATTTCATTACTACCGATAACATTGAGATTGAGTCTTGCTTCTTGACAGTCAAACCGAAGTTGTCAATCTATTATCCAGTAAAGGAAAAAAGAATACTTTCTCTTGTTTGCTTGTCCACAATGTCCACCGAAGCCTGCTGTTGTGCGACTTGGCATGTTCACCCAATTGTTAATTTATAGCGTAACGATTACAAAACCATCTGGCAGATTACGCTTTTTTTTTTTGAAGCAAGAAGAAAATGGGTGACACACTGTCGAGCTTCTGTTTTGAGAATTCAAAATCGAGATATATTCTTGTTGACTTCAATGCAAGCATATGGTTGAATTATTGGGACAGCAAGCGAGAAACCCTGCTATTCCAAAAAAGAAATTTTTTGTATTAATTTTTTATACTATTCAATATTATCTCTACGTATATCAAATATTGACATCTCTTTTTTCATATATATTCACAATTTCAATGACTCTTCGAATTGAGTTAAAAGTCATACGTAAAAGTAATAAATTAATACAATCTGGTAGTGCGCGTTAATTATTCGAATTAACACCATATTATTTATTGATTGCTAAATTGGCACTGCGCAATCGTGCTGAAAAACGCGATTAATATTTTTGAATGACGACGAATTGTGAACCAACTGATCTGACAATACAAACGCGCGTCAACTGATATCTCACTGTCGTAAGTAGGTGACAGTCTAACAGAAGCTCTCAACGATATAGTGACCTTTATGGTCATTTTAAAGATTTTTACATCGCATTATTATTATTGTCTGGAAAGATCATTATAGAAAATGATAGCAAGATGAAAGAGCATCCATAGACAATGGCCCCAATGTTAAGCAGATTATGGCTATGGAATTTTCTCGGGTAATTAGCATTCTTGACAAGTACATATGCAATAATAGGATACAGTAATTATAAAGAATTCCATCACACATCTAAACACAGACCATCTTTGGACATAAACCCCATTCGAAAGATTTAATATATTACTCCAAAGCAGAAGCATTATCAGACACAATGGAGTAACAGAATCATTATCACTTTTAACGAATTGCATTATCTATGTGTATATTATAAAGTCAATTTTGAATTGTTGACAAATCTGTATGTCTTGACACAAGTCGGTGCAACATATTCAGAGAATATCTGCTCGACTCTGGAGTTCTTTCAGTGGTATTGTGACGCGTTGGATATAGTAGTAACCGATCGCAGGAAATACAAGCTAATGCGAAATCTTGTTCAGACGAATTACACAATTCTTATACAAGCTGAAGCAGCAGCAGATTATCTTTATGATATCCAAAGCAAACCTGCTCCATAGCTTGATAAAAGACGGGACTTGAACATATAAATTTGCAACAATATTCATATTTCTTTCGATATAACTCGGCCATTGCCTCAGCAGTAGGATCGCATTTTCCAGCATCATCCCCCACAATGACAATATAGTTTATGTCTTCATATTCGCAAGAATATTCATCGACTATGGGGTTAATAGATACCGATTTAACCTGTTTGGGAATTGCAGGGTCCTTCAAGCAACTCTTCAAAAGATATTCGTCCATTGAATCGTCTTCACAAAATGAATATCCACTCATGGGCACTTTATGCCGAAGATGTGCTTTCCGACGTAGCCTCAAACTATCTAATTTGACACGCCACCTCTCAAACCAATTTCGTAGTTTGTCTTTGTTTCTGGAAAATTCATCTGCCTTGTGTCTTAATTCTCGCTGCAATTCAACAAACTTGAACCAGCGTGCAGTGTATTTCTTTGTTATCCAAGCGGCACGAAGATTTGGGTAGCTGCCTGGGATCTCAAGCCAGTCTGCAGGTGCCGAAGGGTAGTATTTTCTCTCGGGATCATTGATCGCGCCTAGAGCTTTCTTTATGTTACGTATGACTGCCAGTCCAATGTTGAGGAGGACAGGCTCATGTTTGGTTTTCTGAGTCCTGGACGTTCGTAATGCTGGCATTTCTATTTGGGTGGGACCGTTGAAACGTTGATGCGCTTTTCGTGTGTTGGTTTATATTTACGAAGTTTATCATGTGATCAAACTAGGGTTGCCTAAGGTGACGTACTAGTACGTAGTAATGGCAATTTAACCCGCGGGTATCTATTAGTATGATTTCTGCATAGAGCAATTTCGCGGGTTTTAATCATTAACATTCCTTTCGATAATAAGCAACATCATTCCCTATAAGAGAGACCTTGTCCATTGTTGCGTTGCAGCGAGTCTCCATGATAGCGTATTGAATAGACAACATTCTCATAATCATGCCTATTACTATACATTATCTAGTTACAATCTGCGTATTAGTTAGTATGTTCTATGTCCCAAACTACAATATTCGTTACGTCACCTAAAATTCAGTTATCCTGTGATGTAATAGGGTAATTATTTTTACAGTAAAAACATTTCTACTCTCGTTACTCACTGTAACATTCACACCAAATGGATGAACTTTTCGCTCTTCGTAATCTCTTCTACACTGGTATGCCTCGTTCCACAAGTATACTTGCTACTTATCCAGAGCTGACTCCTACCTACACTCTATCGAATTACCCTAACACCCAGGCGCTTATCAACAAGTAATAAATGAAGCCAATTCTCGCAGTCCCCTTTCTGAATCAGCAAATCAGGAGCGTAAAGTCTATCTGTACCGTGCCTATATTGCTCAAAAAAAGTACAATATTGTCATCTCCGACGTGAAAGACTCTGACATTATCGATCTACGCGTGGTAAAACTCCTTGCATTATATCTACAAGCAAAGGATAAGAATGATGCAACAAAGAAAGAAGAGATTGTAAAGGAAATAAAGGACATTGTTGGCGAAAACTCGGCAAATCAAACAGTGCAGATTGTTTCAGCCACGATTATGGTGCATGAAGGCTTGTTGGAGGATGCGCTGAGGATTTTAGTAAGGAATAGCAAGAATTTGGAGAAGTATGTTTATTTGGATATGGTTGGTGCATTTTATAGAAATAGACATGAATGAAGCAGAGACCGTTAAAAGAAGAGAACACATTGAACATTGATGTTTTAACAGAGATTGTTCAATTCATTGTATTATGACTAGAACCGAATTCGGAAAAAGTTTTAAAACTTTGTATTTCATTAGTCTAAACTTTAGTTTGTTTCACATTCACTATTATTTACGATCTGTTCTTATCCGGTTTTATCTAACCAATGTGTTTCCTCATTTTGTATAATTTTCAGCGTTGCCTTAATCATCCAAATTTATATCCAACTTGACCGTCTTGATCTCGCCAAGCGTGAACTTGCATCCGCTAAAACGTGGGCGGAAGATGCAACGCTTGCTCAACTGATGGAAGCATGGGTTGGGCTGAGGACAGTGAGTATCTGCGTTTGTGAATTTTTAACTTTTGTAATATAGAAATAGCTTTCATCTTATGTTTCTCATAATATTCAGGGTGGTGATAAATATCAAGAAGCATATTATATCTATGAAGAAATAGCCCAGTCGCCATCTTCGAACACTGTGAAAATTCTAAACGGACAAGCTATTGCTAATATTCATCTTGGACGATATCCAGAAGCGGAAAGCCTTTTGCTCGATGCTTTGAACAAGGTGTGTCAACAGGGAATAATTCGTGGTCCGGCAACGTAGCTTTATTTGCTGGTTCAGATTATGCGATAACCCCATCCTCTATGCATTTCAGAATAATGATGATCCAGATACTTTGGTGAACCTTATTGTAGTATCAGGCTTTTTGGGAAAGCCGGAAGACGTCATCAACAGATATATCAGGTGCGTTGAATTTATTGCAGGGGTGCCTAAAGATAGAGTATCCGTTTGGTCGAACGCGCGCTTTGCACATATTTTCTCTATTAATCGAATTTTATACTGCTAACGACTTTTGTTTTCCCATAAAAAATCCTACATCTTTGTATTCGATTATATCTAGTCAATTGAAAGAAGTAGCTCCAACTCACATGTTCCTGCAAGACCTTGATCTGAAAACCAGTCTGTTTGATAGGGCTGCACAACGATTTGAAATTGCATAAATTACTCGATATGAACTCAACGGTTTACTCGTTGATTCGGTGTTCCAATTCCTTTTTCTCAGTGTTTTCAATTAGCGATCAGTTAGATGCTGGTTTTTTGGGTAAGTATTTAAGTGTACGTGATGTTTGGTAATTACTTGAACCATTAACTAATCGCCTCGTTAAATTTTAGAAGTGTGACCACACACTTGCAGGAAGGCAGAGTGTCTCATTAGACGAGTGTTATTGTTACAAGGAGTTTAAATTATAGACGAGATAATAAATTACCAAATTTAAAAACAAACAAACAATTCATAGAAGATTCTTAATCAATCTGCCGTTAACTGAACGGTAATCTAACTACAACCAGTCGTACGGAAAACATCCATGAAGAAACTCGGCACGTAAATGAAAGTAAAGAGACATTTAATCATACTGTTTATCCATCAATAGAAATTAAAACCTCTGAACTTAATCAAGGGAGATTGCTGACGAATTAAATGTATATATAATAGAGAAAGTATATGAAAATAGAAAAATCTTGACACTTAGTTACCTTCTTCAAACACGTTGCATGGAAGGTGAGAGCCTTTAGGCAAGGTATGCATTGAAACCAGTAATATAGTGGCAAAAGGTAGAGAGTTCGTATACCTCATCATACTGTATATTGAGTCGACAGCCTCATAAATTGAGAGAACCCCAACAAATGATATAGTTAAATCTGTTGTCGTATGACAAAGGGAAGGTATACAATTCAAAATTGTGCGAAATCGATCTCTTAATCAATGATTAGTGCACATATTTTAATAATTTTATTACTCAATTTTATCAATCAGCCCGAGGCTGACAACGCGAATAACAATTCTACGCATGCCACGATAAATATTAAGTAAGATATGAAATCCAATGGGGAATTCAATTGGGACTGCTAATCACATCACATGACAAAATCCTATTTGGCAACCATTATATAATCTGTTACACATAATGAAACGGTAAAAAAGACACGGTCATATCTTTTCCTCTTAATCTAACAAAATTGGTATGCAAATCTATATAGTAAGTAATAGGACAGGCTTCAGTAGAATATAAGTGTCATATGAAAAAGAAGACGAGTCTAAAACATTGGAAGATTGACGACGCCAAGCGAAGTCATCCGAGGAATACATGAAACGATTATCAACGATTAAAGAATTATCGGCAGAATACCGTGCGTTTATTTACAAGTTAATTAATTGGCGTATAAACAACTAATTTTGCTATAATACGGATTCTTATCTGCGATAAAGAAAACTTGGCTCTTTGTCAAAGATTAGAACAATATTATGTCAGAATACATGGGGGTGCTGAAAAGTTTTGCGTGTGGACCTTTATTTCCAGAAATTTCATAATAATTATCGATACACTATTTCATTCCTCAAAGTACTATCTATGCAACATTGCAGACGATTTTGCCAACTCTGGAAAGACTTCTCATGGACCTTATCAAAATTAAATCTTTTTCCCTTCAGTTCTTTTTTGATTCGAGGGAATAAGAAGAAACACAGTCGGGACTGTATGGCAAGTAGGGGAAAAGTTTCACTCGTTTGTTATGAAGATACTCTGTTATGATCGTTGCCCTAGGTGGTGCGGCATTGTCGTAACGTCACGAATAGTTGGTCTTCCCTTTTTTCTGAAGGCTCAGCTCATTATGCAAAAAGTAAGAAATTTTTTCACGAGAATGCCGATTCCGTTGGCTAATTTTCTAATAAAAATGTGCGGGTCATTTCTACCAATATCCTCGACCTTGGCAATTTTTTCTGACGTCACGGCTTCGCGATGACGTCCAAAACGAGCCTTGTCTTTAATTTCTTCTTCCCTGTCTTTGAATATAGCAATCCAGCGTCTAATTGTGCTGATAGACAATGCTTGTTCCCCTTCTACATTTACCAACTCCTTGTGGATTTGAGTCGCATTTCTGCCATTTTTCCAAGAAGCGAAAATAAAGTATCGTTGGTTCTCACGGTTCATTTTCTTCCAGTCGGTTTACTATGGTTTACAAAAATGGTTTCTCGACAATGAAATAATCTACTTTTTTTCGTCTGTTACATACGCATTTGATGGTTATTACCATTTTTAGTTAAACTGATGCAATCTCTAGTTAAAGAGCCACGCGCAAACTTTTCATAATTCGAATTCATCCGATTGGCACCTGAGAACGCTGAAATTCGTTATCGCAAGTCCTATTCGACATACGTATTTCAAATAATTAATTTGCGTTGTAGACAATTCGAATTAAGAATCAGATGACTGATCATCTGAGGAATGAAACGATATTATCGAATTTGGTGACAATTATTATTATAATACATTAACTTTATAACATATAATGTTTAAGTTCTGTCTGATTTTTGAACTGGAATATGGCCTGATCAAATCGCCTGATGATGCGTTTAACACATTAAAGTAATACGAATTGTACAATATGACAATAACTATGTCTGCTTACTAAATTTATACTTAAAATCACGTGTGTGCATTTAGAGAATAATTCTCATTGTCAAAATCCATTGCACGTGCAGAATATAGAGTGTGCAAAGTCGGGACCACAGAATAGCATGCGTGCATTTAGGGAGAGTCGACTATATCATTCGATTTTTGATAATCTACAGAATCCACCAATTACCATTTTCAAGTGGTTACACTAGCTTTCGGATACTGCGTATTTTTGCTTGCGAAATTCTTGTATCGATATTCGCACTAATATTAACATTGTTCCAAAAAAATTCACTGTGTTCAACAACCGCATAGTGAAAATTTTAATAACACTATTGCTACCCTGAAACTGTTTTCACTATATTAATATAACGATAGTACTCGTTCACTTATACTTGGAATGAAAAAAGGGGATCAATGTGGGTTATATCACAGAGCAGCTGACCAAGATGCCAGTGCTCAATATAACCTTGCTCTATGTTATGAAAAT